GGAAGCCTGTGGAGCGAAGTACACCTGTCAAATGATGGGGCTTAGCGACCATCCACTAATCACAGGAACGCTCACACGTAGCATAGCGGGGTAGCACCTCGAACTTCAGTGGAGGCCGCCCTGAGTTGATCCCTGGGCAGCCTAGGCAAGGGCACGATTTCTCCTCTCCCTTTCTTCAATTATGCCACAACCAAGCAAAACAATGAATACATACGACTTCCTCGAGCAAACATCGGCTTTTCATTGATATGCCTTATAGCTCTATCATGGGAAAACTAGGAAGATCATGGTACCCTTTCCTTCTCCTCCTCTACCTCCGACTGGCGCTTCTCGGTCGTGCGGGCAGTCCAAAGGTGAGAAATTGGTGGATTCTCGTTTGAGTAGGTACCAAGCATTCGACCCTTGGGGGTCGTTAATGTGCGGTACTCAGTTCCACCACAATGAGATCTATCATAACGAGGTCAGTCATAACGAGACTTGTCACATTGAGATCCAACATATTGAGATCCAACATATCGAGGTCCATTACGTCGAGGTCCATTACATCGAGGTCCATTACATCGAGGTCCATTACATCACTGAAGCCCGCCACGGTAAGATCCGTCACAGTGAGAATCCGTCACAATGAGAATCCGTCACAGTGAGAATCCGTCACAGTGAGAATCCGTCACAGTGAGATCCGTCACAACGAGGTCACAACAAGATTCGTCACATTGAGATCTACCAAATTGAGGTCCGTCACATCGCGATCCTTCACATCCAGTTTTGTATCGTACTTGTACAAGACACTCTGGGCTTAAAACTCAGTGCCCCATCTAGTGGTTCCTAAAGACTCCTGGGGGCCACAATTTGGGAGTTCCATTTACTACTATTCCCTAGTCTCCATCAAACCGACTGCACTCCAATGCTGCGCTGCTAGTCGGAAGATTGTAGGCGCGAAAGAAGTTCACTCGGACAGTCTTTCATGATCTTCGAAGCCACTAATCTTAAAGTGGCGGTATTTGTTCCTTTAAAATCCTTTCTGAAACAAGAGCGGTCAGCGCTGATGTATCTATTAAAGAAGGTGATGTTTCTTACAGAACTGATTCTGCCGCCTCTGAATACATGAGAACCAGCAGCGGAGATTTTCTGGATACCTCTTTCCAGCTTCTGCCTATTCGTTTCCGTTCGAGAAGCTGCTTGCGGACACGATCAGGATTTGATGTGTCTTCCTGGGCGCTCATATAGATGTCAAGAGCAATGCTGGCGTCACGATAGTATCGCTCCCGAATCACACGCCTGGACTGCCTTTCCTTCCTAACCACTCCTTCGACAAAAGAGAAGAGATCCATCAAGCGGACGTAGGCCAAGCGACGCAATAGAGTCGAGCCTTCCTTCCCACTGAGTACAAGGTCAATCACTTTAAATGATTCGATAATGCGAGGATCAGAGCTCGAGTCAAGGTTCGGCATATCGGTCTTGCTCTTGAGCAAATTCCAGTCAGCTATGACCTTTTTGTGATTCCCATTGAATGTTTGCAAAGGCTCCACGCCTAGAAGCTTGTGACAAATCCGATCTACACGAGTCTGCGAATCTCCCTTGAAGCCATTAGTTCCGAACACTATTCACGCCCATTCATCAGAGCGAGCCTGATCGGCAAACGGCCTTATTCGCAGTGCGTGATACATACTTTTAAATTTGTTCGTCCGAGCCGTCGGTAACGCCAAGGTTCTAAGCTGTTGCTATCAAACCGTATCGCAGCGCCGTTGTTAGCTGCAGCTTGAAACCCGGTCATGATGGCAAGATTTCCCAGTTTATCGGTGGTTATTATAAGAAACTTGAGCCTGCAGTTCAGGCAGGAGGAAGTGAGAATTCGACCCGAGATTTATATAGATGTAGCGAGCAATGCAGAGCGCATAATGTGCGAAGCAAGTTCTACGAAGCAGGATCCTGTTGCATCATTCTGAGATCGGTTTTCTGCATTGCGTTTTGGGGGTTTCCGGAGACATAATCCAGCCAGCGACCAGGTGGTGAAATGTTTAGAATCAAGCGCTCGTTGAGCACATGTTTAATTGGCATTTAGCCTTACCCCTACAGGCTTTTGTTTCCCGATTTTGGTTCCTGTTCGCGTTTCCGGGTAGCCCCCTCTGGAATCCGTATCTGGAAGCGCGCGTCTACCAGGTCGCACTGGTATTGGTCGACACCAAGGCAGCACGGAATTCCGTGCCCATTCAGATCATGATGTAGTAAAAGAGGCCGAGAGCACAAATACATCAAACTCGAGAGTCGTCTTCCAGGACTTCTAGCTCTGCTAAATACTAAGTGGAGCTAGCTGCCTTTATGAGGCACTAGTCAGTACCAAGCGACTGTTATTAGTTGTACAGTAGGGTACGTTATCACGGGCGTGGGTTGGTAAAACGGCCAGCATCGGCAACGAAAAATATCCCCCGAAGCTAGCCGAAGATGAAATCAAGGCCTGTGAAGGATCGAGGCCATCAAAGGTCGATCGATAGTATTAGGTTAAGGTCTTAGATACAAGATGTAACGCAATGAGATCAAAAAGAAGGACAATATTGGTCTGGTACAGACAGTAGTTTGTGCTCTTAGACGACGTGATGTTCAAGGTCAACTTTTGAGTGAAGCGAAACACGTTTTATTCACAAAAAATTGCTAATATTATACACATCATTCAATCTAATCGTAAAGCACTCGGCTTCAAGCTAACCTTAAGGACTAGAATGCGACTAAGGTCCCATCTCTGCATAGCGACGCCTCATGCTAGCGCGTTTACCCTGCTTATCTGCTTACTCTTTGATGTTGAACTTGTCAGACATCCCGCTACAGTACATTCGCCAGTTCCAACAGCTTCACACGACGGTAAATGGCCAGTATATGGATCGGAAAGACACCAAGGAAGTGTACAAGGTATGTCGGGAAGTCCTTTTTGCCTGGCTGTAGCAGTACACCAGGGCACTGCTTAGGCCCATTATTGAGCTCTAGTAACAGGCAGCCAGTATTATCGCAGCGTCCTTGTCCCACGATTCGGACACCGCCCGCCAAACATCGATGGCAAGCCGGTACTCAACGCCGATAACCTACGAGTCATCCTGACGTTTAACATCGCATACGATACAACCATCTTCCCAGGCGAACGGCACCGCATCAACCTTGCTGGCTGCTACCAACTCCTGTGCTATACGGGCGTACGGCTGGCCGAGCTGGTAGATGGTGAGCGTCAGAAGCCAAAGGACGGTTCCATCCAAGAACTTTTTGGTCAGAATGCAGTCCAGTCGTCTTCTTCGGCGAGCAGTGAAGAGCAGGAAGTCCTTGCGGATGAACAGTCCAAGGTTCTCAATGGCCTTCTCTGCCAAGAGACCGTGGGACGCGGACGCCCCAAGGCTCTCTGCTACGAGGATATCCAGATGATGATCGTCCGACACCCGGCCACTGGACGATGCATACCTGCCATGGCCATCAAGTTCGTTCATCATAAAGGCGCTGACAACAAGCCCAAGCCGTAAGTTTCTCGTGCTTGTTGTCCCAAACGGCGAGCATTCGGGCGTTCTGTATATTAACAATTGCAGCAGTACCATCTTCTACTTCACACCCACGAGAAAGCTACTCTTCTGTGCTGTTTCCACGATTCTTGCTCTCGCTCTCCACGACAACGCATTCGATGCTCCGAGCTTGACAGATGCAACCGTTATATTTAGATCGCAGCCACCGCGCTTCAAGCACTGTATCCCGTTCCGATGGAAGAAGTCTATGTTAAAGACTCCAATCTTTCGCCGATATCGTGGTATGGAGCTCTCTGCTGATGAGGCCATGCTGTACTCCAAGCTCAGAGACGACATAGGTCAACAGAGTCTTGACGCGGGACATGAGAGGAAATGGACACCTAGGTTCGCTAGGAGAGGCGCTGGCAATGCGGCTAACGGTGCGTAGCTGAACAACACATGTTACCTAATTGCCGGGTTTGTCGCCATGTCATCATTGTTTCCTTTACTAACGGTGTTCTTCACAGGAGACGCACCCGACTCCATCCGCGATCAGATGATGCGCCAAGATCCCCGATTTATGACCTTTCAAAGCGCGTACCTCAACGAGATTGCGAATTTCGACCTCCAGAACGCGTTCCTAGAAGAAGAGAAGGAGAGCCAGCTGTTTCGGCTGTTCGCACACGTCAGCCTCACGCGCGATCCTCGAGCTACGGCAGACATGGTGCCCGACGAAGTCTGGGCCAACCTGACACCAGACCCGGAAATCGTCGAGCTCGAAAAACAACGCGCACAATTGAAGCGGGGCAAGTACCGCATCGAAGGCCGAGAGAACGAGGAAGAGATCCGACAGCTCACCAACAAAATCCGAACGAAGAGGGCGTACCGCGAAAAGCAGGTCGTCAAAGAATATCGCGAGGATTACTTCTACCACCGTCCCACTTGGGACGTTGAGCAGCAGGCACGGGGCGAGGAAGAGGAGGAGTACACAAAACCTGTCATCGATGTGCATATACCAGAACGCGACCGGCTAGCAAATATTCTCTGCCATCAGCCGGATGGTCTCACAGAGGATCAGGTTCTCGAACAAAGGATCGAAGCTATCCAACTCATGGTGTCTCTGCATCGCGTCCAGCAAAATGTCAGGGCTCAGGCTCAACCGCACATCAAAACCGAACCTAGCGAAGCAGACAGCGAGCCTGAGCCTAGCCTCAATCAATTTCCTCTCCTCATGCAAGTCGGACAATGCCCAGACTGCATCGGCGACGAGCGGCTCTCCCTCGAGGAACGTGCTCTTTCGTACTGTCGTCCGACCGTTAGGAACGACCACTTTGATGACCAGCACTTGATAGAACGCGAGAGGGCACTGCAACGTGGTGAGAACATGGTGTGTACACACCCTGCTTGTCGCACCCAAAACCGAGGACAGAATCTCGAATTCCATAATATGGACCATCTTAGGGCCCATGTGCAGACAGTTCATCTGTTGACGCTGCGATCATCGTGCCAAGTGGAGCAAAGGCGATTGCGCAAATTGGGGCATCGAAAGATGGTTAAAGGATGAGCATGACAAGTTGGGAGCAATAGATACAGTCAATCACAGTGAGAGATAGAACGTTAGGGTAGCTCAATTCAATCTGGTTGAACTAATATGGCTCGATCGACTACCGCATACAACTCGTGCGCAAGGCTCAAACCTGATTGTTGACATAATCCAGTACAGCATCATGTTGTCTCGAGTGTTCCGCATGATCAATATGGCATAAACCTAGGTGACAGATATAATTGCACTGGCTCCATTTGACTAGATTGCACTGGTTTCTACGTTATCGCGCGATATCATTGCGCGCACGATGCTGCGGCCCTCCGCTCGATCTTCTTCTTTGAAGATGCTCAGACCGTGAACCTGGAGGAACTTGAACTCGTCCCCATAGTGCTTCTTCACCCATGCATTCTCAGTCGCTTTCAGAGGCCCATCGGCTGTGTCTATATCCTGCAACAGACGTTGAACATTGTCATGCTTTTTTCTTTCGCTGTCCGGCCATTCCGCCCGAAGTAGGTATTTCGTGGATGGATCCAAAGGTGGAGGGCCAACCTTGGGACCGACCGGGAGTCCGCTGAGACGAACTTGGAAAAGCCGGACGGCTTGGGTCGCCGGCTTAAAATAGGCTATGAGGCGGCCATCAGAGAGCCTGCGGATGGAACCAGAGGAGGTTTTGGAAAACGACGTGCAGACATGGTAGTCATTTAGAACGGGCGATCCGATGATGTTGCAGATGATGCTAGGGGCGTGCAGTACGTTCGTCAAACGGAGGGTGCCATGGGAGCGTGGGCCGTTTCGGTTTGGGGATGTCTTCGTGGGAAGGTCGACCGTACCTATGCCGATAACTTTAATCGGAGTTCCAGTCGCGCTGTTAATAGCAGAATTGAGGGAAACGTAATCGTCACCGAACCAAGAACGGTCTTTAGCGACGCTGATCTTGTTAGAAGGTCGATCTTGCATCGCCAGCCACGGAGCTTGCCGGAAGGGAAATACACACTGAACGTTGGAATTGTTAGACCAAACCCAAGTGGGGCAAGGCAGGTTAGCCTGATATGTCCTCTGCAACGATGCCATCGTAAGGATCAAATTTCTTAGATAGTCTGCAATATGGAGCCTTAGATCTTGGTGCTGTACCATGAGCGCTTTAATGCCAGAGGTTAGCTCTAATATGGGACCTGAGCGCCAGGGTGTTGTCGATAAAGGACTTCACGCACTAATAGTGGTACCATTGCTTTAGGCTGACCAAAACTGATTCATGTGTCGGCACATCGTTGATGCGGTCTGGAGTTGTTGGCAAGAATGGGGCCAGCAAAACAGACTCTAGCCGCACGAATGAGGTTGTTCTCGGCTCTCGCCAAAGGCGCCCAATGATCCACAGTCAAGTCACCCCTTGGGCGATGTTCCATATCCTGGAATTGCAAACACGGGGCCGCCTTTGCCATACGTCACTGTTGTTACAGGTCATATTACGATCACCGGCAATTCTGAGCGTAAACTCAATCGTTACTCTTCGGTCTGTGATAGGTCAAAGTGAGCGATCAAATCACAATGCCAAACCGAAAATATTTGCTCATCACAGTTGCAAAAACGATATGAAAAACTTAACCCAGCCGGCTCCCGGCAATTTACAAGGTCCTGAACTCGGAATGTATCGCCCACATGTCTCTGTCGCAAGGATCAACGTACGAGTATGCATGCTCCGAATGTCACCGTCGGAAACAAAAGGTGAGTTTGACAGCAGACCTGAACTCTTATGTCCGGCCTCTAACGTTCTGTTAGTGTAACCGGGTCTGGCCTTGCGCAAGCTGTACGAAACGTAACGTTCCTATGCTCTGCAAATACACCTCAGATCCACCTAGCAAGCCAGAAGATACAACGGAGAAAGGCTATCGTTGTGACAGCTTGATCGCGGTACAAGGTACAGTGAACCCTTGGGCCTGTGGATTAGGTCCCTCATATCTCCGACAGCTGGGACACAAAATCGAGGCAAGTCCACCCAGCAAGCTTGACTCGGAGGTGAATTGACAGGCCTTCCAGCCGATTCGAACGCTGCAATTGATTTCTTTGAGTTCGCCTCACCCGTTGAGTGCCCTGATCCCAACAATATCTAAGAATGATGCCGGTAGGGTGACCTGTGCTTGTCAGAACTATTAACTGATGTTTGGCACGAGATGTTCTGGTGCAGGTGTTCACTAAGAAGGTCCACATTCACTGTGACATCGTCCACCTAACTTCGTTTGTCAAGCAATACTCCGACTGGTGGGCTGCACGCTTGACCAGGGGTACAATCGACCTGCACTGGACTTGTCTCTTATTGGAGATTTTGGCCTGTGCAGCACAGCAGGCATTCCCCTTAGAGCAGGGGTCACCTGGAAAGCGATTTCACAATGCAGCTGAATCATTGTATTGCGCGATGTACGATAAAGCGTCGAATTTTGGTTTGCAGCGAATGATGTATGCCTGCTTCTGGCATAGATGTGAAGGGCATCTGACCACGTGTCGGACAGTGCTAAGCTCTGCATGGTTAATGGCCGTTCAGCTAGGTTAGCATGACCAAGTTGGTTGCTAAATTAATACGGACTAATCAGGAATTCATCAAGAACCAGCTGGTTCAGGAATCAACGTCGAAATCGAGATGAAGAGGAAAATATGGCTGTATATGGCAGAGTGGGATCTGTGAGTTCAAGCACTGCCAGGTTCTCGCTACAAGCTAATAAAGGATCCAGGGAGATCGCAATTCTTCTGTCTCAACCGAGAGTTATGGATCGAACCTGCTGTTCCGTGAGGCGTCCATATCTATGGCAAAATCTAACTCTCCAGCGAGTTGTGGCTCACGTTGAACTTTTCAAACTCGTGTTTGAACGTCGAGATGGCAGCCGGTCGTGGCTAGAGAATGGAATTCGAATGTGGGAACAAGTGCTGCCACATGATCTCAAATATTCGACTGGGAAACTCCAATCAGATGGACCAGAAGGAAAATTCCACCGGATGTATACTCTTGTTGCTAAGGTCACTGCGCATATCAGTCCATTGGTACCCAGGCCAGGAATGACCTTTGTCAAACCAGAGGATAGGAGTGCTGTGACCGGCCATTGCTTATCGCTGGTGGAATACTTACGGGACTTGATTGAGCTGTTGCGGGTACAGGAGATCAGAATGTTGTTTCTCTCTTACTATATTTTCACATCAATTGCAATATTGTGCCAAGCACACCGCTTGGCGCCCGACAACCAGCTGACGGAGGTGGTTACTGAGAAAGCTCAGTGGGGGTACAACTATTTGCTCAAGTCCGAGGCTACTTCCAACTTGGCAATGGCACTCATACCGGTGCTACCTGAGAATGTCGAGTGCTCACAGAGTCGGGCAAGCCCTACTGAAGATTCTGAAGCAGAACACTCCACCGAAAGCGTGGAAATGACGGCAACAATCCCCAGTATGAACACTGAGAGTTTCTTTGATACCTTACGTTCGGAAGAGCTTGATGAATTGGCAGGTGAATGGCAACAGGGAGTCCTTAGCTCTAATGAGGGTGCATCAAGAAACCCGTAGTGAAGCTTGCGCTCTCCAAGAACGATGGCCAAGTCACTATACTTTTCAGAGAGTACCAGCTCAAGAGAAGTCATAGTCAGAGCTTACGGTTTTAAGAACGGGAAAACCGATAGTGCAGGGGATCAACGGATGAAGGCTGAAGAGGCATTGACGGAAAAGATTATATGAACGACCAAGAAACCAAACTGCTGATATTTGGTATTTTATATGTGGACCTATGACTGGCCTCTGTATTGGAAGTGTAAGAGACAAGTCGTACTTACTTCATGCTGACTAGTGAAAAGTGAACGAGTAAACAAACTTTTACCGGTCAATCTGACAATTCTCTGCTAATGCCTAGAAATTTACTAGTCATTGAACTTGTTGTCACGAGGAAGCTTACTGGTCATGTAAGCAATCGCACAGGGCGCTTACTTGACAAGGATTGCTAGTAACATCTCAGCAGTAGGAGCCCTAAAAGAAGCTCATAAAGCATAATCAAAGTAATTATAGAGCAGCCTATGAACCGGATAGCCATAGAAATAGTTGATTATCCTTATAAGCTTCCCTCTGCTAGTAGTAGAGTTAGCTTACCGATTATCCTGCCACTTCTTTGAATACATAGATGACAGTTTACTGAGGCCAACACAAGGACTGGCTACTAGTAGAAGAGGTGTAATGAAATAAGGAGTATTGCCTTATGATATGAAGAGGTTACAGGATTATTCATGCCAGGCGTACATTCGCTACTAGTAGCTCTTGAGTCATATACCAAGGATGACAGCTGACGGAGGTTGCCTTATGCTGTGCGATTCTACTACCAGGAGAGAAAGTAGAGAGGCTTACATGATTACTTGCCTCTCTGCTATGCGGTTACTAAGGCTTGTATGATTACTCACCTCTCTACGAGTAGAGAAGCTTACACAGCTACTTACTCCTCGGCCACTAATAGGCGCGTGCATTAACTAAACTTTTGTCTACTCGTAGAAGGGCCAGATTGATGATCTCCGCAGGCTGTAAGCGTTCCTCTACTAGTAGGTAGGAACCCAGGAGCTTCATTATTCTGATAAGCTTTCCTCTGCTAGTAGCAGAACCAGATTACCCATTACCCTGCAACCCTTTTAGAAACTAAAATTACGGCTTATAGGCCTACTACTAGTAGAGGGAAGCTTATGGGTGCTGTGAGGGGATAATCAGAATAGATTATGGAGCAAGGAGTAAGGTTCTTCTTTACGAGTAGCGAAGGCGTGACTGAGGTAATCAATACAGTAAGCAGCTTTGAGTGCTTCCTTTGTAGCGCGGAAGGCTTACAGTATTAGTAACCCCCTAATCGAAATCATGAAGAACTACTTCATCCTCTTCGCTGACTTGGTCTGTGGCCAGCAGCTACTCTCAAACCATCTACGATCGTACATATGTAACGATGATCGCAACGGATGCTGCAACAACTTGCGCGAATGCAAAAGCAGTCCCCMAATCCCCCCCTGCCCCCCTCCAGAGTACTAGGCTGAGCCAAATGGAGGCAATTCCAAGCCAAGCACATGAGACCCTGAACGGCAATTCTATATGCATTCGGTCGGTCTGCCATCCTAAAATGAAGTGTATGCCTCTCATCCAAGCTGTTCCTTGGAACTTTTGATATGGAAGAGGCATTGCAACTTGGCTCGAACCCCTAAGGAAGTCAGACTATGTTTTTTCG